GATGCTCCCCACATCGATGATCTCCCGGCGCAGATCCACCGAGCTCTTCCGCACCCGCTCCTGGCCCTGGGGGGACATGCAGCACTACGTTCACCTTGTCTGCACCCAGCCACCCCCTGGCCCCCTCACACCCCGACCAGCCTCACCTTGACGGCCTCGAGGCCCCGGTTCCTGGGGCCGCGGCGTTTCTCCTCCTCCAGCTCGGGCGTGCTCATCCGCTCCACGGCCGGCGGGCCCCCCGGAGTCGCTGCACGGGCATGGGGGGGCTGCACGGTCCTGGCTGGGCCTGGAGCAGCCCCACTGCCTCTGTCCCCAGCCCACCGGTGGAGGTGGCTCTGGGCACAGCTCACAGCTCAGCACTGAGGTCTCTGCGATGCCCAGCAGCCCTGGGCTTGCGCTTGCTCTGCTCAGCAAGCTGGGCACCTGCCTGCTGCTCAGTGAGAGCTCCCAGGTTGGGAACCTGATGCCCCCGAGAGCCCTTGACCACCTTGCTGCATCCTCCAGGATGGCGAGGTCGGTCAGTGCCAACCACCTCATGCCTGGGGCCCTAAGGATGAGCACGGCACGCAGCAGGTCCCTGCCATGTCCTCCTGCCCTGTGGACCCACCTTCTCCTCCTCCTCCTCCTCCGCCAGCTTCTGCTCGATGAGCTCCTTGGCCCTTTGCACATCCAGCTCCATGTTTGCCTGTGCTGCACAGCTCCGTGCAGGATGCGTCCTTCTCACCACCACAGGCAGAAAGTGTCCAGCCCTGGCTCCCGGTGCTGCCGGCAGCTCCGCTGGCCGTGGGGCTTTATGCCACCGGCCCCTCTGTCCTGCAGCCCAAGGGCACCAACAGCTGTGGCTGCTCCACATGACTGGGGCAGTTTTGCCATGAGCTCACCCTCCTGCTTTCTGGTGGCCCTGGCTCACCTCCCAGGTCCTGCACCCTCTTAAAGAGACCCACTGCCTCCCCCCCGCAGCTGCCCGGGACCCCCATGCTGGGTGAAAAAAAATATCCTGGGGTGCTGTGCCCATCCCCCCCACCCTGGGCAGCCAGGATGCTCCCTGTGGCTCCCATCACTTCATCCCCATACAACCAGATGCTCCAGCACCCCCCCCAGCATTGCCCAAGGCTCCCTGGCACCCAGGGGGAGGGTTGCTGCCCACCCCAAAGGGCGGCAATGGGGCCCCCACACCTCTCAGCCAGCAGCAGGCAGTACATGATGCCAGGAGCCGCAGCCCCTCCGTGCAGCTTTGGAGGATGACCTCAGGTGTGGAGCGTCCCGAGCAGCCCTGCCAGGGGCCTGGTGGCTGCCCGGCCTCCCCTGCTATGCACGGGCAGCCTGGCAGTGGGACCAGCCTCACGTGGGGCCGGTGGGCAGAGCCAGCAGCTATTCCTGGCACTGGGGACATTGTTCAGCCCCCCTGAGCTTTGCTCTCCCCCTTTGTAAGACGAGGCCAATGCTGTCCTGTGCTGGGACAGTTAATACGCTGGGCATCGGCCCCCAGCACAGGACCTGGGAGAAGGACAGATAGGGACACATCACTGTCACCTTCCTGGCAGTTCCCAGGGCCATTTTTGGGCACCCTGTCCCATGGGTGCTGCAGCTTCCAGCTGCAGAAAGGCGCCATTTTCATCAGGACAGGTGATGGTGGCCACAAAGGTGGCCCTGGACTATCCCCCGCTGTCGACTGTCCCACCTGGCCCCATGGCAGACACAGGCTGAAACCTCTGGAGGGGAGCACCAGGAAGGGAGGCAGTGGCCCCACAATGTCAAGCAGCCAGGATGGCAATGGGATGATGCCAGCAGTGCTGGGGAAGGGTCCAGGCAGGCCAAGAGCCAGGGCTGTGGACAGGGTCATGGTGGCACAGGGGTGCAGAGCTGGGGCACCCAGGCTCAACCTGGCCACCCTGTGCCCATCCCAACATTGGAGTGGATGTGGGACAGGCACAGAGACCTCCCATGGCTGCAGGTGATAGCCACCCTCAACCTGTCCCAGGGGCCAGAGGAAGGATGAAAAGTCTTTATTGATAAATACAGACTATATACAAAGGGGAGGCATCTCCACCCAGCCCAGCACCCCGGGGCGTCCTGGCCACAGGAGCTGGAGCCCAGGGGGTCACAGCCTCTCCATACCGGAACCGCCCGGCAGTGGGGC